CTGGTCTCAACCTGCTGGACAGTCCTGGTCTCAGACCGCTGGACAGTCCTGTGTCTCAGACCGCTGGACAGTCCTGTGTCTCAGACTGCTGGACAGTCTGTGTCTCAACCTGCTGGACAGTCTTCTGTCTCACTATGCTGGACAGTCTGGGTCTCAGACCGCTGGACAGTCCTGTGTCTCACCGTGCTGGACAGTCTTGTGTCTCACTGTGCTGGACAGTCTTGTGTCTCAGACCGCTGGACAGTCCTGTGTCTCACCGTGCTGGACAGTCCTGGGTCTCAGACTGCTGGACAGTCCTGTGTCTCACCGTGCTGGACAGTCTTGTGTCTCAGACCGCTGGACAGTCCTGTGTCTCACTGTGCTGGACAGTCTGTGTCTCAAACCGCTGGACAGTCCTGTGTCTCACTGTGCTGGACAGTCTGTGTCTCAACCTGCTGGACAGTCTGTGTCTCACCGTGCTGGACAGTCCTGTGTCTCAGACCGCTGGACAGTCTGTGTCTCACCGTGCTGGGCACAGTGCTGGGCAGGGGGTGTGGAGGGAAGTGTGCATTTCCTACCTGAGTGCATGGCTGCATTAACCAGACTGGTGGGAACAGCAAATCAGACACAGCGACGTTTTATTCCAGACTTGCAGCACCGACCAGGGCTGAAGGCCAAGAGGAAAATTGCAGGCAAAGATGCAAATGGAAAACTACACTGTTGGATAAACAGAACCAAACTGTAATTTAAGGATAGTTTATGCAATAATTCAAGTTTGGATCTCAGCCCCACTCAGGCCTTGACTAGAACCCTGAACCCTCACTTTCTGTTTCCTATTCCCAGAGTGCTGTGGTACTGGCCCAGCAAACTGGCTGTGAGCCAAAACAAAAGCCAGACAGAAGCTCAAGAAACTGTTACACCGACCTGCACTTCCTTTCCAAAGACAGTGTTGGAGAGATAAATCAACCTGAGGGCAGCAGGTCGAGTTCCCTGAAGGGAAGAGCACAGGAGAGGAGCAGTCTCACAGAGCCGGAGGGAGAGGAAGAGGTGAGGTCTGGGGGAGCACTTTGATCATTCCAGCATTTCAGTGAAAGTGACATCACAGCAGACAGATTAGACTGCCAGGGCGCAGTGTACTGACGCACACTCACACACTCTAATTCACACTAACGCACACTAACACACTCTAATGCAAACTAGCACACTAACACACTCTAACACATACTAACACACAATGCACTCTAAAACACACTAGTGCACCCTAACACACACTAACACACTCTAACGCACACTAACACACACTAATGCTGTAACACACTCTACCACAGGTGTCACACACTGGAGTGGCTGTAGAAACCCCTGCTGCTGGGCCTGACAGACGGACACACCCAGTGTCTGACTTGGGTCCCCAGCAGGAAGCTGCTGCACATTTCCTTCTCCCTTGACACAGGGAAGGAGGCTGCACACAGATCTGCTGTTTAATGTTCAAAACCACATCCACCCTGTGTGCCAGCACTTTGATGAGCCGCTTCCTACATTATGATATTTTTGGTTAAGTAATTGAAAAGCATTCCTACTCCTACTCTACATAACAGCCAAACACGTCACAGCAAAACACACGTTTCCTTCCCCTTGGTTTGAGCAGTAGTGACCAGCAGAGCTGGGCTGTGTAACGGCCCTCCAGGCCCAGCCTGCCAAGTCTCTCTCCACTGCTGCTCTGAAGGTGAATGAGTGAGACACTGCAAGGACAAAGCCCATGGTGTTCACGCTGCCCGGACCCATCAGACGTGTGTGGTGTCAGACTCTAACGAGCTCACAGCGCACTCATCCTCTTCCCTGCTTGCCGTGATTGTGCTCCTCTGACAGTCAGCCGGCCTGGTGTGCGCCAGGGTCAGGGAGAGGTCAACGACCCTGACCCCACTGTTGCCGTGGAGACCCTGGCGCTGGCCGGCAGAGGCCTCGTACCCGAGAGACCGCCTGCGCGTCTCCAGACCGGGGATAAATATTAACAAGGCGGAAAGCTAACCGTCTGGCGGTGTCCTCTTCTTGGGCCTGGGAAAAAGGGAAATGAATATTCCACACGAGTGGTGTGAGTCAGCGCTGCTGCCTGGGTCTGTTTCATGAACCTGTCTTTAATGTGGGGGGCGGGGAGGAGTGGGTGCATGGTGATCACTTTCACAGTTGTTTTGCCCTCAGTGTCGATTATTCTGACTGACTATTATGACTGCTTTCCTGACACTGTGCAGAGATCTCTACAGAAGAGAGAGGGGCTCTGTCTGTTCTCCTGAGTCAGTGTCAGTGGTGCTTGATCCCGTCAGCCAGACAGCTCTCAGACACGCCCACACTTCAGAAAGATCCGCTCTACTGCTCCCCAGCTCCCCACAGGGCTCCGCTGCGCAGCTCCACTCGGACCACCAGCAAGGACACACAAGAGAGCAGTGGTGCCCAGTACTGTCCCCTTGTTGAGCTCACGCACGGAGCAGACCTGGAGCAGACCTGCTGTCCTGACAGGCTTGGCCTCGGGACCGAGAAGACCACTGCTGGTCATCTGAGGGACAGGAGCCGACTCCCCAAAGTCATCCCAGTGTCGACAGTCTTGTTGAACACAGGAGGGTCTGGATCGATCTGCCTGCTCGTATCGATCCTGATTCTCTCTTCCATATAGACCTCTCCCTCCCTGCGTCTTTGAACACATTTTGCGAATCCGTGTTTGAAGCTGGAAGCGAACAGAATTCCCAGACAGCCTTGCGACATGAAAGCAGCTCTGTCTTCCACAGAGGCTGGCGGTGGGCTCTGTTCGCCGCAGGTGTGTGAGAGAGAGGGGCCGCTGCTCTCGGGGTCAGAGCTGGAGGCTTTCATCTTTCATGCTCCGTCGTCACCTGACGCAGAGGGGTCAGTGCCCACCGCCAACTGCACTGTGTGGAAGAGCACAGCTCAGCACAGGCTGTGATCAAAGTGAGAGGTTTCGCTTATTGACCTGTTGATAGTCCTCAAGCATCCCTCCCTGCAGAAGAGAGACTGAAGAGGAGGAGACTGAAGGAAGAAAAAGATTTCTGGCTGTCCTGTGCGCGTGTGGCCACCAGGGGGCTCTGTGAGCCAGAGACAGATGGCTGAAGGTGAGGAGAGAGAAGCACAAAGGGCAGCTTTGAAGATCTGAAGGAGACTGGCACTTTGAACAAGATGACTAATTAAAGATGCTCTCTGCTGATTAGCCTGTTTACCAGCACAGCGCGGAGGCCTCTCGCTCACGCGACCTCTCCGAACTGCGCTCCCACCACAAGGCCTCGACGCCCAGTGTCTGATGTCCAAGAGGAGGGTGTGGGGCTCAGAAAGCACAGCTGCTTCCTCCTTTCTGTGTCTCTTACCCTCCTGCACGGCTACTGCCCCTCCTCCTCCAGTGCAGAGGCAGGGACCCTGATCTGAGCTCTCAAACTCCTCACAGTCGCCTTTTCCACTGCAGATGCTCCACCACAGGGGGGTCACAGCGGGGACTGCAGAGGGGTAGGGTCAGCTGGGGGGGCAGAGGGGTAGGAAGGGCAGCAGGACTGACCACTCCGCACAGCCTGGAGAGAGCAGGGACCTTTTCTGAAGCAGCAGTTTTTAAAGTGATTAATGATTCATATTAAAATGAACCCACATCCTGTGTGGATCCTCAGTGACTCACTCCGAGATCCCCTTGCGTCAAGTAAAGGAAAAAACTCCTGCAGGTGCAGCATCTGAATTCCTATTACGACTCTGTATCCACCAGACAGTTTCGCCCTTGTTGGCTGACGATCGTCTCTGTCTCTTGTGGCCAGGACTCAAGACAGTCCACGCCCTCTCCAGTCTGCAGAGCGGTGCACGCCGGCTTCATGCACACAGCCAGCCCAGACCGTTCTGCTCTGACCGGCCTGAAGTGACCAGTGAGGCTTCCCTCTCTGCAGGACTCTCAACAAGCTCAGTGTGTCGCTGTTGCGCTGCTCTTGGCCTGCACCGGAGCCGTGCGAGCTCCCCCAACAAGGCCCAGAGCAGCTC